TACACACACACGCATATATATATATATATATATATATATATATACACACACACACACACACACAAATAGCTAAATAAGTACTGAAATTAATACTCAGTTGTTGTTTTTCACCAGTCTGAAGAGAAACCCGACAAATTCTGAATTCTGGGTTTGATACAACACAGAATAGTGACTGGAATAACCTAACAACAAAATCATATTAACACATCGCCCAGGAGTGTCTTTACACAGCAATTTACTGAATTTGAAAAGTAAGTTCAATCCGAAAACACCCTAAGAGGTTGGTCTGGACATATCTTTTCGATACAATTTCGTTTATTAATTGATAAATTTTAAAGTGAAATACAGCATCCTCAAGTCTCCATACTAGCCAGTACTAAGGTCTACCTGCTGGGAGTAAATATCAATAGAGCCACATTCTCAAAATCATAAATTATGCAATTGCCAACCTTTTATGCTTTTGCTATCACTTTTTGTATGTTTAACTTTCAAATGAGATACGAACAATTTGACCTGCAATTTGGTAGGGAAGGTCGAAGCATCACAATAGTCAGCAGTAAGATGAGCAGACTTTGAAAGCAGCTACAGGCATAATATTGTACTCAGCTTGCTGCACAATATCTACCAAGATGGTTCTAAATGGTTACTGAATACCTCTGCGTGTTATTTGGAGACTTCCATGATTCTTGTGCTTGGCCGTTAAGCTTGTGATGAGCTGATGGATTTCAGTCACCTTACCACTTCAAATCACTTTTCACAGCCCCAATGCTAAGAATGGGAAATGCCTTATTTTCAGCCAATAAACATGTCCAAAACATTTCAGTTCAAATTAAGAAAACTGGGATGGTTAGTTGTTTTTTTTAACAAGATTGTCCCCCAGTGACTCGTGAGGGCCTGTTAATAACTATCTTTTTTAATCAATACCTGTATGCTGGAAAAAATGCATCATATGAGAAGTTATCTCACCTGATATATATACTGTGACAGAAATACTCATGTTTATTAAAACACCTGAAACAATGTGTACCAGAATTCTTTGTCAAGTTAGTAGTAACTATTATTATACTAACTAAAAACTCATAAAACTTGCATTCAACATATTACGTTACTCAAAACCTAAACCTGTAATAAACTTTTAAATAGATGGAAAAATCAGTGTAGGGGATAAAAAATTTAACCAGCAATTTGGCCAAATGACCACCATTCATCAGGGATTAAAAAATACACAGTACTTGTTCATTTTACCAAGATATTCTGAAAAAAAAAACCTATGTACAATAATCATGTCCTTTGAAAAAATAAAAATTTAAGACAATACTTCAGAGAAATTTAAAAAACAAAATGTTCTCTTTTTTATTTTCAATTGCATGAATGTGATAGCTTTGGTATAGAGCTATCATTTTTTTTCTTTTACATATTATGCATAGGCTTTAATGATATGGTATCACAAAATGTACAGGTTTATAGGCAGTTGATTCATGTTTTATGTAAGATATACTTGCATATTACCTTTAAAAAATGGTTAAACTTTAAAAAAATATTAATGTATTGAAAACATCTAAAAATAACATTTATCCAGATACCACAAATTTTGTAAAATTTCTCACGTGACTTTTGAAACTGATTAGTAACAAAGACAAGCTGGATGAATAAATTTAAGCAAAGTAAACATTACAACTAGGAAGTGACAAACAGAATGCTGTCCAAACAACACGCATGGGAAAAAAAAAACTGTATATTCCACAAGAAAATGATTCCACAACTTTGATGTACAAATATTTACAAGAATTTATACAAAGATCTCAAATAAAAAAAATGAAGAAGGTTTTTTGACTTGCTTAGGATGTATAAAAATACTTTACAAATTCTTCTGGGTAACTTTCAAAGGATTATTAGTTTTTTATGTAGTTAGTAACCACTGCATTGAAATATAACATTAATATTCTAATTTCCTAAAAAGTAGCTTTCAACTGTTTATTTTCTTCTCGTAATCTTTCTAGCTCAGCTAAGAGTTCATCATTTACTGAATATTGCCGCACCAGGTTATGAATTTCAGCCTAGAGAGAGAAAGGAAATACTAGTCACAACTTAATCACTATATATCAATGAATAAATAGATGGTAATGGTCTTTTAAAAACCTTTTACAAGTATATGAAAAAACACAAGGAGGAAAAAAAATGTTTAAATTTATCTGTTTTATATCTAAACACTTTAGGCTTGTTTAACTGAACTTCTGAAAGGTTTTTGACTTTATCTATCTCATTCACACTCTATGTTTCCATCAACCTTTTGACATACTACCATCACACACTGCTGTAATTAACACACAACATGTTTCAAGCTTAATTTACCATCTGGTTGTGAAACTGCCTTATTACTTCCACATGGAGATTGAACAGGTCTCTGTGGACAGAATCTCTGAATTCTTCCATAGCATCTCTAACAACTTGGTGCACAAATTCTGCCTGTAGATCACATAAGCAAGTCTGTCAGTTATGAAACTTAATTTTTCAAAACAATATAAATTTCTTTTTTGTTAACAATATGCAAAAATTCATGACCCATAATATTTTAATCTTGTTTCTATAACCTCTATTTTATGACCAACCCTAGCTATTACAAAGATTTGTACTACTATTTTGAGTTAAGTGCAATGGAACAAAATATCATTAATACAAAATTCACTACCAAAATTTACGTTCAGTTTATGTGTGTCAGATTGACATAATCAGATCAAATGATGTTACATAAGAAAAAACAAATTTAAGAACAACTAAAAAGTTCTCAAGGTCAACTTTACAAAAATAAAAACATGTTTGTACGAAGAATCTTAAAGACTTACAAACTCCTACATATTAGTTCTAACAGTTTATGCTAGCAAATAATGAAAGAAAATCAATGTTTCTACAATTTCTAGACATTACAGATAATTTTGCAGCATTTTTCCATCCAATTGTAATCAATCTGATACCTATTTGAGGTGTATACTTCTACAATAAATTCTCCATAGCTAAATGAGATCAAAAACATTGCATGATTTTTTAAAATTTATTAGTCTATCAATTGAATTCTTTTTTTTAAGGTGAAGAGTGATTTTAACACTATCTATTAAAACTGATTTATTCAATGTGTAGTAGGGTTTCTAAGCTCCATATTACAAACTTAAAACGTGCTTGGACACATAAACGAGAACATATGTTAACTCTGTGAATGAAACTTCCCAAAGTAAAGGGTTTTAAGCCAAAATTAAGACAGTATAAATGACAATGGCAGTATGAAGTCATAATAGTGCATGCCTGAAAAGCCTGAGGAGAAGCCAATCTTCTGGATTCTTCAACAACTTGACTTTCTAAACATTCGTCCCAAGCTTGAGGTTCTTCATTACCAGAGGTAATGATGGACCATGGCTTCCTGCATGTTATTCTTTTGCTCAGTAAAGACTGGGATTTTGGCTCCTCTTCCTTCGTATCCTCGTCATCTTGGCATCCATTAATATTTGATTCTCTAAAATCTGTGATCTTCCATTTGTCTGAAGAACTATCACCAGCACCTTCTCCTCCAGCTGCTCCCATCACATCTGGTCGATCTGTAATGGTTAGTGAATCCAAGTGATTCGAAGAAGTTACTATGTTCTGTCCTGCTGCTGATGATACACCACAAGGTTCAGTTCTATGATCCTGGCTGAACTTATCAGTTTCCAAAACACCACCAAGAAAGCTGTTACAATTTGCTACTGCTTCTGTACTAGTCTGGTTGATAACTTTTTCTGCTGTGTTGAATACATTTTTTAATGAGTATAATGCCATTTAATCCAATACACAGTTCTTTACTCAATTAAGTTAAAACATTACCCAAAAACACTGTGCAAATACATTTGATACCTTATGACAGCATCATGTATATTTTTACATGTTTAAAATGTTTCACTAGAACACAGGAGTATGAATTGGTCCAAACTTTGTGGTCTAAAGGTTATAAAATATTAAAGGAAGTAAAAACAAATAATCAGAAATGCAATAAAATCACAATCCTAACACAAAATATCAAAGATTGATGCAATCACTACAAAAACTCAATATATATCCAATATTTACTTCCAGAAATAGTTGCTATCATAATACATGTTTATATACTGCAAGAAACAAACCCTATAACAATTTAATGCTATGCTATTAATACATACTATAAAACTATAATTGCTAGAATGATACAAATTACATTCACGGAAAAATGTAACCATGTTTTCTATAGAAATTACCAATACAGTTACCTATAGATTTAAGAAAACGATAAAAGTAATACCTGAGTACTTTGTGGGAGATGCACTGGCAGGCTTTTGGCTACAATTGCTTTGTTCAGAAATGGTAGTAGAATAAAAAGAATTCACTGAAACTGGTGTTTCTGGCAAAGTAATGGGAGCTACAGGCTATGACATAAAAATAAAATATAGATAAACGTTTGAAAACAATTTCACAATAAAAGGCTATGTTGTAAAATAGTAAAAAATATATAAAACCAATAATAAAGACACTCATTGACCACTTTATAACAATCTCCACCAAAAGCACTAGAACACTATTTATTTATATATGTAACTTAGGCTGATCATGTGTTGTGGCAGTTGGACACTACAGCCATATAACTACACAAATGTAATTAAGTAACAGTCTAAAGGACGGTAAGAAAAAACAAAGATCTCTAAGACAGAGGGTGCTCACCTAGCTAAAATGTCATTATTAAGGACCATTTCTTTAATTGGTTGTTCAAAGATGTGTAAACAGTACTAACAGTTGAATTCAAAAATAATTAAATCTGCCAACAAAAAAAAGACTGACAACTGCTTGTGACTGACCAAAGGAAGAGACGACTGTATAGGCCATGGGTTGGCAACCCTTCAAAGAAGAAGATCCCCCGGTGGGACAGTGGTAAGTCTCTCGATTTACAACACTAAAATCAGGGGTTTGATACCCCTCGATGGACACAGCAGATAGCACGAGAGTCGCATGCGGCTTGCAAGCTGCTGACACATGGTATAGGCTAATAAGATGCAAGATATCAGATTGTGTAAGATGACCAATTCATCTATTAATGATTAGTGTTGCTATCTCTAACCATACCATGCAAATGATGTTGTATAAACCTTTACAACAAGCAACAAGTTAGAAAACTACTTAGATGCAGACAATAAAACATGATTTCACTGGTGTAAAGAGAAAAAAAGTGAACTACAACTGACTGAAAATGCTGATGTGGTTTGATAAGTCGCATTTAATCCATTTCTGCAGACGAGTCTTAATAAAATGGCCAGTCATTGCATTTTACTGAAGGAAATATGTTGATAACCAAGATATTCTTATAGCTTGATTAAACTGTTTTGTAAAGTTGTTTGAGTTGCCATTTAGAAACATATGACCATAAATCTGTTGATGTATTACAGCTTAACAGTTCTTACATGATGTAATGGCTGGTATAGTATAATCCTTTCAGAATATTAAATGAAATTAATCATGACAATAACATCAAAATATTTTCTATGTCTTACTCTTATTCATTTAATAATAGTTTCCTGCAAGAAAAGTACATTACCAGCAATTCAGACCCATCATACACTACCGAAGTTCATCATGCAAGTTTGGTTTTGATACCCAAATTCTTCTTTGAAACATTAACACCAATAACACATGTAAAAATTTTAAACAAATAACCACATAAATCTCTACTGCATTTAAAACAAAAGAAATGATAGAAATTAATGTTTACATTGTTTTTTTCTTCATCTGCTTCAGATAACCCTGTTGTAATAGGACGATCACCAAGAAGATGAGAAGAGTTTTGACTACCTCCACCAATGGGTTGTCTTCGAAAGTTTGAATTTATTGTAGTTTCTTGAAGAGGTGAAAACACTGTATCTGTAAAATTACATAATGCTATGTTATTAAAATCTAATTAAACAAAAACTGCTAAAATTATGACCTAATATAAACTAAATCTCTACTGCATAACACAGCCATTAGGAATTGCCAAACTACTGCCCACGGATAGACTTCAGAACTAACTAGACTGATTATTGATAACCAAATAAATTTCACACATTCAGCTTAAGAACAAAAGGACCCGATTTGGAATTATAACTGACCATACAGCATGATACAGATCATTTGTACTGTTCTCGAGATTAACACATTTCAGAACAATGTACAGAGTACCTGTACTTTTCACACGCAAGTAAAGGTTCAAAATATCTAGAGGTGAACAACACACTTAGAGCAAGCTCACTGAATACGACTGTTTCGATAGCAGTTCAGTCATGACATGGAAGGTCATCTTATCGTGCTTCGGACAGGCAATGTACTGCTCAACACTTGTTTTGCATAAAAATTAACTCAGGGGGTGGCACTGACATTATTTAATAAGAGCATATGTGCTTTGTCATGGCTAGAATGTATAAAACTATTATTATCCATTAATTATTGACATATTAACCCTCTCGCTCCGGGTATCCTTTACAGTGCATGACACAAGGTTATAGTGTCTTACATTCAAAATTTTATTAAACTACTTTTTGTTTATGTTATACCAATTAGTACAGCATAAAATCTTAGTTAATAATTCATATTTTAATAGTATATAAGTTTTAAGTTCTTAATTTTATAAGGCAATATTTTAAAAAATCCTGAATTTCCCCTAGTGTGACATTTTCTCTAAGTATCTTCTCATCTCTATTTTATCCAGCATAAATGCTTTTTTTTTTATTAGGCATGAAATTTTTATATTCAGGCTACATTGGAAATGGTCAATAAATTTTGTATTAAAACTTCCAATTAAAACTAACATTCCATTTAGCTGCTATATCTGATATGGATTCAAAATACAAATGCATTAAAATACATCATGCATGACGACCACATTACACAGAATAAAACTGTACTTTCATATTTTGTAAATCCCATTCATAAAAATTTGACTTTAATAACATGGCAAAAAACATAAAAAAGCATGATGGTCTTCTATGTATCAAACTTGAAGTCTCTATAACCACATCTGCAGCCAAGTAAATAGTAAAATTCTAATGATTCACTATACGTTACTTGATCTTAACCTCTTAGATAGAATTATGTAAAACTTATTTATACATACAATATATCACTCTATGTTTGTTTCTCTGTACCAGTGTCCTTCACCACAAAATGTTTATTATCTGCAGGTGCTTATACCCTCTTTGAAGTTGGTTTATTTTAATTCTCTGCTGGATCCACATCAAGTTCATGTTTTTAAAACAGACGTTAATTAAGGAAACTAGAAACTATGAAATACTAAAGCTCCAAAACAATCTTTCTGTACCATTTTTCAATATATATCGAAATTGCACTTTCTTTCCACTCAAACTCAGAACAAACATGTATATATTCAATTAGTAATATGACACGGACCTTACTCCAATTAACTTGACAATAGAAATGCCACACCTCTCAAGTGATCCATAAGGTCAAAGCACCAGAACTTTTGTGCTGGAAATGACATTAGCAATACCTCTATAGGTCTCTATTGAAACAAGTAAGAATGCACTACTGGTTCCTTCACATGTTCAAGCTATACTGTACTATAAAACATAACTATATTGCATTTTACATTGGCAATGGCTAGAAATAAATGAGAAATATGAAAAGATGTAGGCATGGCTACAATATATGGTTAACACAAAAAATGGATGAAGAAATACAAGCACTTTAGATTATCACAGGCCATTCTTTCTTTGAAAATTATACTTCTCTGATGCTCTACTTCAACATATTCAACAGTCTTGTACCACACATCTAAAATTATTGTCACAGGCTGCCAATGTCATACTACCAAGTTTGCAATAGACAACACAGAAGACATGGATCAGCTACCAAGAAGTTCAAATTATACTTAAAATATGCATATATTTGCAAAATGTCATTCCCAAAATCATAAAACTAAAATTTTCTCCATTAAATGAAAAAAAAACAACTATATGCACCAAATTACTTGTGCATTCATGTTTTTCTTGGCTAGAGGATGACTTATTACAAATGAATCACATCAATAAAAATTTGAACAAAAATACTATATATCTTGCAATTAATCACACCAATTACTGCTGATCCCCCCCCCCAAAGTAACTCACATATAAAATCAAACAGGGAAACAGTAACAGGGAAAAACATAAAACTACTCAATATGGTGCAATATATATAGATCTAACTGTAGTAAACAATACAAAAACAAGTCAGTATTAAATCTGTAGGTTAATAATATTTAAATAAAACAATCCACTGTCAATGAAAGATTATTTAATATCCATTAGTAAAACAAAATGTTTTAGTTCCTACCTGAAGACAAAAGGAAACTGCAAAATATGTATTTTAGTTTTGTAAGACGAATAAATTAAACAAAAGAACTACAAACAACTTTACAGCACTAAAATTTGTGATAAAAATAAAGATGGTAACTGTAGAATTTTTTGCACATTCTCTTAATCTGTCCAGTGCAAATTCCAAATCAGAGGCATGTAAAACAGTATATATGATCTTTCTTCTGTCTGCCACAAGTCACTGCCCAAGAAACCTTTCAGTTAATAGCAGAACTTGTTACTTGGGCTGAACAATGAAGCATTAAGATAAATGTATGAAAAAAAAAGCATCTGCAGTTAATGTGATTTTTATCACAAGTTTTAGACCTATTGTTTTTTTACTGCTTACAGCTTTCTCCACTTAAAATGTAACTTTTACAAACTGCTACCAACAATCTTAATTACTGAAAAAGTGTTTGGTTTAGCTATAATAATAAAAAAACTGAATCATTTCATGAAACTTTAACTAAGGAAATATTAAACAATCATATTATTTTAATTCTTCAGGTTCAAGACAATACATAATACACATTTTACACTGGTTTAATGCTCTATTTCCTTTGTGCATTTTTATCATACTAATAAGTGCATACTTAATAGACAGTTTACTTTTATAAGAGTAATTTTACCTGTTTTTACATAAAATATTTACAGGTTACAAAGTGAGGTTTAAAATTTGTAGTTATCCAATAAAATATTTTCACTTACGTGAAAAGGATCCAGAATCTCTTTGTTCACCATAAGTTACAGGAGAACTTTGTTTATCAAAGGTTTTATACGTTCCTGCATAACAAAATACATAACATACTAACTTTAGCTGTCACCACAAAAAAATCAGTCACAAATGATAGATGTATTTATGTTTTCAAATTGTGGTTTAAAACATTTGTGAAAATTGACACATTCAAAAGAGTTTAACATGAAAATATCTTTGAAAATAATTAATAAATTATCAAAACACCAAACTAAAGCACTTAAAGAACAGTCTTCAAAGAGACAGTGACATTCTGTGATCGTGGAAAACAAATGGAAGTGGTAGGATTAGGTATCTGAAACAGCATATTCAATTTTGAAACCAGTGTCCATTCAGAACAGTCTTGTGCACTAGATAATGCATGCAGACTTGCAGAAAAATGTTGAACTAGTCCTTTCATTGTATCAAACTGGTTGTTTGAAATAAGCCAAAATTTAAAGGACTTGATATCCAGTGAGATGAACATTTTTTAGAAAACTGACACTACTGCCATTTACATATACAATAATTGATAAATAACAATACCCTTTAAAATATTTTTTTCAATCTATTTGTGAGAACACAACAGAAAAAACTGACTTTACTTAATGATAATTTTTATGGACTAAGTTTTGAATTATGTACTCTCCACCAACAAATAAGCATCCATTCATTATTACTGTCCTTTAGTTGGAACCTCTAAAACTGACTGGGCTCCATGAGGAATTTACCTACACATGGGAAACTTTCAGAAGTGAAAGGAGTAACAATATTCATATCATATATCTTTCGATTTGCTTAACCACTGTCAATATATCAAATGTTCTGTAATTCAACTGAATAGTGATACTTTTCAGCACATGACATATTTTTCCTAGTTAAATGTTTAACTTACGACTAACTAACCTGGGTATAAGAAAAATGCTATAAATTCTTACCCACTACATGGAAGGATCACTTATGTTAGGTGTGTTACACTGAATATTAAACCTATTATACCATTTCAAGAAATTTGTTTTTGATCAATCAAGACAAAAAATAATTATGTATTTTTAAAACCTACCATCTCGAACTGGTGAAAACACATCGCACACACTCCTTCCTGGACAAACAGTGTCGACATACACAGCTGGCATCGTATGATTCGGACTCAGGATAGAACTGGGCTGAGTAGAAGCAGCTAAGAAACATGTTTTACACCAATGAACTGGCTCTTGTTCAAATAACTAAATAAACTAAAAACTTTATTATTATTTATTTACATTTTAAGATCACTGATAAAACAATAAACCATTCTATACACGCTTTATACTATGTTACCTCAAAACTAATACTTCATACTATCAAGAACCATGGTTATGTATCAGTTAATTAATCTACAAATTAACCTTTTTTGTGCTATGATAATGTATGTGCACCATTAAAATTGACATTTTTCTAAACTGAAAATGTATTTTCAATAGATAATTATCTCCTCTCACAAACAGCTTTTCTTGACTTATACTGACTGTCCTCCAGATGTGCACATTTTCATTCGCCACTAGTCTTGATACTCCCACCTACCCTTACATGTATTCATGTGAGACATCTGTATGCTGTCATGCATATGATCATGCAGCAATCCTCCACTAATAGGAGTGTGACACAACTCCTATTGTCACTAGCACCCTCTCTTCTGTGCAGATTGGGCAGTACATACAAAACCAACACCAGAAGTGTGGAGGTTAATATCTATCGGAAATACATTTTCAGAGGAGGAAAATGATAACTCCCAATATAATAACTTAATTTCTCTCACATATAGCTAAACTCCCACAATGAGTTGGCAGAGGGACCAGTGAGATGATCCTCCTTTAGGAAGTGCCCAAAGGAAGACCATGGAAAGGGACCATCACCATATCCCCCAGGAACTGACATTTGGAGGATGGTAGGAAGGTGGACAGCAAAGTGGGGGTGCATCTCCAGACCATCACCAGATGGCATTGAAAATGTATCATCCAGGCTGTGGTAAGAGGAGGTTGCCTGGCAACATGTGGCTGGTCCAGCTCCAACCAACATCCAGAAGAAGGTAGGAAGGAGGGTGCCTCAGCCAGAGGGGCAAATTGCATGTTGACAGAGTGCATAATCCAACATCAGATGGCATCTGGAATTGTACATCAGATTCATGGTAAGATGACTATCAAAGCCATCCACACTGGCAGAACACCACACCCGTACACTCTACTGGGTGGAATTGAGCATACTCAGGAGGAAGCCTCCATGGCTAGGAACTGGTAAGTGGCAAGGACTCCTATACTCCTCCACTAGAAGAAGGGGGAAAACAGCACATTGGAGTCTGGAGGAACGTTGCACAGGAAACAGTGCATGGGTGACCTCAATATCTTATTTTGAAAAACAGGCCAATCCTGTGATCTATAATACGTAGATGATCTGGGATGGGCAGTAATCCCTGTCTGATTTACTCATGTTAGTCCATAAGTGTACGGTCCAGGATGAACATCTTTATGAAGCAAAATATCGCGAGACATACAAGTGGTCTTGCAGACCAACCCATCTCAATGGCGGGAGTATATGACACACAGGTCTTACAGTGTGGATACATGAATAAGTACAGCTGGTCAGGAAACACTCGCCACTGAGTGGGATCCAAAATGGAACAAATGCCCCTGCAAAGAAAAAAGGAGCACTTAAACACTCAAAGTGGAATTGTGGAGTGCAAAATGGTGACAGTAGGAAGACAAAAACCCGTAGAACAACCAACGGCTAGGTGGTGAAGATAATGAGTAGTAAAGGTATGGGGAGTGGTCCACATACCTGCACGAATTATGTCCTCCTACTAATGATGGAAATGAGTAGCCAAGGACATGGTAAGGTGATAGTCTTGATGGGAAAATACACATAAAAGACAACCAACAACCAGAAAAAGAGAAGAACAAGCCAGGTGAATCCAACCCGTAAGGATAAATGAAAAAATAATGAATAAACAAACAGGAGCGGGAACCACAGAAAGAATCAGTGCTCACATTGTAGCAGCAAACAGCCCTGACTAGGCAGAGGAGGCAATCAGGAAATGGAAGGACAGATGATATGGTGTGAAAACGGAATTACCTTCCTGAGCAGCAGAAGTTTTGGGCAGAAAAGTGAAATAAAGTGCAGTGGACATCAATAGCGAACGCATTCAATCAATGATGTTCAAACACCAACAGGAGGAGGAAAAGGGACTTCAGGAAATGAACAGGCTGACAAAGATTCAAAAGGAGGAAGGGTAAGGGCAAGATGGACAACACTGAGGTTCCAATCCAGGATAGAGACAGGATGAGGAGGACATGTGATGTGGAGAGAACATAACCAAACCAAAAGGGTCAGGACAGGTGAACAGAAGACATGGGCATATTTTGTAAAACCAAACTTGGCTAACAAAGCCATGCAACAGCCTATGACCGAAGAGAAAGGTCAGATAGGATGAAAGATAACCATGATGTAATGACTAATGATGTACCACCTCTCTTGGTACACAGTCATGGAAGAAGCACAAATGGAATGGGAAGTCAGGGATGCCACATGCTGAAACGGCCCATCTGTCAGGACAGGGGATGCACAAATGCCACATGTGAAGATGGAGAGTGGGAGCAGACGTATGACACACACCAGACTGGGGCTGACATAGGAGGGTGAGAAAAAGAGGAAGTGGAATAGGAGGTGACACTAGTAGACAGCGCAGGAGTGGAAACCATGGCTGAGCTGACCAAGATGGAGCCACCAAAAGAACCTGACAAAAAATGGTTTGGGTAATGGAAATGATCTGGTGAACATTATAAAGGGGGGGGGGGGGTACATACGAGGTATAGACCCATCCAATACTGACTGAGAGCATCTACTGGTCCAGCCAAAAGATGTGGAACAGAAG